TAAGAGTGCCAAACGCACCTCGGCTGTCTATTCCTATCTAAGGAGCCGGTCGCCCAGCAGGGACCGATGTTAGCCCCGGATTGACGACCAAGTCCTTTTGAGTATCTCGGTTTTTGCTGGGTTGAGACCAACATGTTATTTGCTCGGTCAGATTGTTTTTAGTCAAAAGAAGACAAGGCCCGGTCGCTCCAGTTTCTTTTCACTGTTTCTTTAGGAAGAAGCAGAACACCAAGAAAACAGTGGAAGGTTTGGACGGATTCTAGGCCTATGCCCTAGAGCAGTTTTTGTGCCTAATGTGTTGTAAATTTGAAAGAAGAATTAGCAACTCAGAGGATTGAGTATCCTTACCTGTGAAGGGTTGGAGGTGTTTGTCCTGGCAACGAAGATGCAAGTCGGAATGCCGACGTAGGAGATAGCTCAGCCTTCTAAATCGTCAGGAATAGAAGAAGCGAATAGCAGAAATGGTAGTAATGGAGTCTTGTATGTATAGGCAGGAGGGAGTCCGCTCAAATTCAAATTCTGGAAAAAACGCGGTTGGCTGCCCGATGACCAGATGGCAGCTCGCCACGGTCCCCATTTATGGCTACGTCAGGACTGAAGCAACGGGCTGAAAAAGACGAGAGCAAACCGAGCTACTTTCGACGGAAAGAGGATGTCAGTCGAGGAATATAACGGGCAAGTTTGCAACAGGTATGTTAACTAGCCCGGTCGAGTTTGGCATCTTTGAAGACCGGAGAAATGTTTACCTCGGTCGAAGTGAGTAATCCCAGGTTCACGCTTCCACGGACGGAATTAAGGGGCAATTGAGAGGGCGAATTTATGATCTGGAGTTGGGCCGATGGTAGCGACCGAGGCAGAGTTGAGAGCCAGGCAGCGCACACATGGGCCGAGGCATGAGCGACTTTCGCCCATAGATGGGCTGCCAGAACTTGGGCCGAGTACGATTCCGCCCAGACGAAAGACAGCTCGCAGGCAGTGCTCAGTCGGACCGGGATGCTCGGTCCGAGATAGCCGAAGCAGACAAGGCCGAGTGACCGGCCGCCCGAAAGGCGAGTTCAGCCGAGGTTACCGTTGAACGGCAGAAAGCCGACCACAGGGGGTGCTTTGGCTAGGCTTGCCAAGATTGCCACCTAGCCCGGTCCTCCATTGCTCTTTTTGCCAGTGAAGTAGCTTGGTTGAAGCACGGCACGGCGGCAGGCAACGCCATAGAGCAGCTCGGCGGCGCGATCTCCAGCTGTGAGGCGGGGCAGTTGATGATTAAGGTTAGATTGTCAGCAAGTCTGGGCTGACAATGATGAGCGGAGCTACGTGTCAGGAGATGGACTTCGTCAAGTAATTATGGGGCACAGAGGGTATAAAAGCATGTCTGCGTCCCCCCATAACGCAACGGAATGAAACATTTAGTGAGACATACACTAAAACGTCAACACTCTCCCTTTCTCTCTATCTATTCCCCTTGGTGTGTTTTTCTAACTTGACCGTCGGAGGGGTTTTCCGGCCACACACCCGCCGGGTAGCTCACCCACATTGTGCTTCTCAGGGGGATCGACAGAAACGAAGCTGGAAGAAAGGAATACGGGCTCGCTCTGAATATTTGCTCCCCGTACTATGTTTATTTAGTTATCGTCTTACGATTGTAATTTATGAGATTCTATTGCTTAGATCAAATAAAAATGAAATAAAAAAACAAAGTCTCTTTTTGTGTGGATTAAGCAAGAATCTTTAAAAAATTCTAATACTTTTGGCGGTGTTAATTCCACACTATTCTCAAGAGAGAGAATATTATAGGTGGGAGGAAAATTATGAGAATATTGTAATCATATCTCCTGAAAATTTTTGTGCACAAAAATTCAGATAAAAATTAGATATAACTCTTTAGATGAGATTTACATGATTTGTTAATACTCAACTTTCACACTACAGGCAAAAATGAGATTATAACACGTTTTTTTGGTGGCGTTTTTGGCAAATGCCGTCCAATCTGTGAGCAAATCTTTTAAATTCCCGATTATGCTATACTAGTTTATTAGCAAACGGTGGTATAACATGGTATGAAATGGAGGGTAAGTGAAACGGCACAGTTTTGTGTACGTGAATAGGGGATTTTTTTTTCCCTTTTACAAAGGTAATTTTACCTATCTAGATATGCTTTTCGATTTCAGTCGATGGAACAGAGATGCGACTTGAGAGAGAGAGAGAGAGAGAGAGAGAGAGAGGGCTGGTTCTTTGATTTCCATCGATTTTTGGTGATTTTGATCTAGAAAATCTTGTTCTCCCTCCTGACCTGAGCGTATATCTTCGAGATTGTTCGAATCCTTCTGATCTAAATCGATCTAGGGCTCAAGGTAAGGGTTTTCTAACCTAGATTTGCTAAGTTCACTCAAGATCTGTAAAATCTCATGGTTAAAACAACGATTTGGAATATATTTTTGGTTGATGTTTGTAGATTCACTTGCATTTTCCCCCCAAATCTAGCGTATTTCTTGCATTTTTGCTTTTGTTTTGTGTTCTTTCTCTTCGTTTGTGGTCTCTTGCTCTTTCTAGTCCATGCAATGGGATACATGGAAAGCTTTTCTCGTTCATAGCGATTGCATTTTGTCTAGGGTTTCTAGTGCAATGTCAATGTCTCCAGGCAATTACCGGTTCATATAATCGAGATGGGTCGTGAGTTTAACGATCTAGAGACGTAGATCTTATTCTCAGATCTGCTATCTCTCCGATCAGATCTGTAAATATTAGGTCTAAATTCTATTTGTTACTTTCTTCTAGTTTTGATTGGATTTATGTTTCAGCCCCAATACTATTTTGAGCAATTGGAAATTGTGTTTTATGTTAGTTTTTGACATAGAATTTAATTTGTTGACAGTCCATTTAGTATTAGCAAGTACAGAGAAATATGTTTAGAAATAGTTTAGAAAGGATTGTTGAAAAGATTGTTTACTGAAGTAGTAGGAGATGAAAAGGACTCATTTGAGTTTGTTGAAAAGATTGTTTACTCCTTAGAAAAAAGAAAAAAGAAAAAAAAGAAAAAGAAAAAGAGTGCTGGTTTTGCAATACATAGGTTGTGGGATCTGGAGCTGTTTTATTTGTCAGGATGTGATTTGTTTATTTGTTCTGGTTTTCATTGATTTACATTCCATCACTCTTGTTTTGATTTGTTTTATTTAGCTTGCTAGGTATTCAACTTAAGTATTTGAGTCACTGTAGTGCAAGGAGGAGTTCTTCAGTGCCCATTGGGACACCAAGAAAAAGCCCAAAGATCTGGTAAGTTTAATTGAAACTCTGAACTCTGTTTGGTTGCTAAGATTTTTTTTTTCTCATTCTTCTGTGAAATATTGGTTTCTTTTAAAAAAATTATATCTTTGTTCCACTTGCCTATATTTCTTAGAATCAAAGGTCTGAAACTTTAGATTTTCTTTTAAAAAATTCTTCTCTCTCTCTCTCTCTCACAGCTATGAACCTTTGGTTCAAATCAATCTTTTTGCTATATTTTCATATATATATATATATATATATTTATATCTGTGTTCATTCATTGCTGAGTAACTTTGATTTATACCAAGATTCACATATCTTTTTTATCTACTTTTAATTTTCGTCTATATATCTTTACTGCAAGTTCAATTGTCATGATTAGTGATGGATTTCTGTGGTTTTGCATGTGTAGAAATTCAATCAGCATGTGCTCTGTTTTAACTTAATCGAAGTTTAATTTATAATTTCATTTTGTTTGTATTCATGTGATTTTGCAGTGATTGCTCATGGAATCAATGTCGGAGATGTGAAGAAGCTTGAAGATGCTGGGATCTACACTTGCAATGGCTTGATGATGCACACGAAGAAGGTACATTGATTTTCAATTTCGATATGTGTCTTTTATGATATTTATGTAATCTGATCTTTAATTATTGAAGTGGGTTTTGTTTTGTGATTTTTTTTTTCAATTGCGTGGGTCATATTCATATACAATAAATACAGCTTTGTATAATATTGGCATTTGGCAAGGTTGGTGGTGATGTTGAGGAAGTTCTTCCCCCTGTTCTTGATTATAGCTCTGACCCACCTCCTCTTTTTGATGGAACCACAAGGTTTGTTTGTTTTCAAAATCTCACTCTTACCTTTATCTCCATTACATGTGTATTTCTATTCTATTATATAAATTGTAGGTGTGAATGCTGTCACGCTTTTTCTTTTTGAATAATTTCTTTTCAATCTAGTAATTGTCACATCTAATAACTCTGTTCATCAAATCGTTAGAAACTGTGCTAATTAATTTTTCTCTTTCATCAAACTATCCGAGAATGTAAATATAAAATTATAAATGCATCTCACCGTTAGTTTGTATAATTTGTTGGGTAGTGTGAATCCTATAATTAATAGACACTAACCATTCAATTGCGAATTTCAACCATAAATTTGGAAGATGGTTATTATTATTATTTCTGCACTTATGACCTATTGTCTTAATTTTTAAAGAATATATAGTCGAGTGGAGACATTATCAGTGAAATGACAACAGCCGTGGACATAACCTAGCTTTGGGGGTGACGTTTGTGTTCTTTATGTCTGTGTGTGATTTATCATTCATGTGCATTTGTTCTTCTTTTCCATCTTAAGTGTGTGTGATTTATTATCACTCTAGACCCTACTGCAAAGTGGGTGCTTGTGCATTGGGTACATCCTTTTCTAGTTATGTATAGAACAGCTTTATATGACACAAACATTTGTGAGTGGATTAAAATTTAGCCTACATTTTAGCAGAATATATTCGTGGTGCAATTTTGTGTGCTAAAACATCAAGACAGATGAAGCAAATGATTTGGTTATCAAATTCCACAGGACACACTATCAGTGTCTGAACTTTGAATCATGCCAAGTTAATATGTTACTATCACAATTTGAAATTTTTTGCTAGTTTTCAATTGGGACACATGTGTGTGTGTTTCACGTTTGTGTGTGTTTTTGTGTGTTCTCATGCATTTTCTAATCACCATGTTCCATTTTTATTTCCTGAAGGTTGTACACCTCTTACATTTGTCCGTATGCGCAGCGTGTTTGGATTGCATGGAATTACAAGGTTGTGTTAAATTTTATGGATACTTTTTCTGCTCTACTATTTCTTTTCTTTTTTCTTTTATTCATGTTACTGCAATTCTCGATTTGAAATTTCTTTACTTTTTTGTGCAGGGTCTGCAAGAGAAGATCAAATTAGTTCCTATTGATCTTCAAAATAGGCCAGATTGGTACAAGGAAAAAGTCTACCCACCAAATAAGGTTACATTCTCAACCATAATTAATTGTTTGGAAAATACTGTTTGGTAATTTCTGTGTTCCTCGTTCTCTTCTTAAAATTGCAGAAATTTATATCTATCAAATGAGGAAAAAATCACAAAATCTGTTGAGAGCGCTCTTGTTTCATGGATTATGATATTTACAGATTCTTTTCTTTTTTCCTTTTCAAAATTAGTAGGTGCCATCACTGGAGCACAATAATGAAATTCGAGGAGAGAGTCTTGATTTGCTAAAATATATTGATAGCTACTTTGAAGGACCAGCTCTTTGCCCTGATGTAAGTAGATTTTTCACTCTTGACATAAAATCCAACTCTCTATCGCTTCAAAAATTGAAGTCTATAGCGTATCAAATGTCTGTAGGATCCCACCAAGAGAGAATTTGCTGAGGAGTTGCTATCCTACACAAACACCTTTAACCTGGTCGTGATCACTTCACTGAAGGGAGGATCTGAAAATGAAATCAGTAAGATTCAAGACGTGCTATTTTTTTTTTTTTAAGTACTACGATATAGAAAGAAATTTAACATTTTATATGAATCATAATGTGACCCGCTCCAATAAACCTTGACAGGTACTGCTTTTGATTACCTCGAATCAGCTCTCCTCAAATTTACTGATGGACTTTCTTCCATGGTCAGTTCAGTCTAGTAAGTTAGTTGCACTCTACTAATTTGATATTGGTTTTCCATCTTTATTGTTCTTATATTTAAAATTATTATATATTACTTAAACTACAAATGCAGTTGTGTTATGCATTGTAGTCAAAGAAGTGCGAACAAATAAATACTTTCCAAGAAGTTGGTGAATATATAGTCAATTTGTAAATTGTTATGGAACCCCTAATTTGTGTCAAAATTTCTATGTTGCAGGTCGACATAACATATGCTCCATTCATAGAAAGATTTTATCCCTTATTGCTGGATGTAAAGAAATATGACATCACTACAGGAAGACCTATGCTGACATCACGGATTGAGGTTCATTACCTATCCCTTCCTTTTTGTGCAAAGCTTTTTTTATGTGGATGTCAACCAACAAGCAACAGTAATAGCAATTGCTAACCAATTATCAACTGAGATGCTAAAATATATAGTTCATTTGCCTGTAACTAGGTTGCTTTTTGAGTATACATTACTGAATTTTGGATTTTGGATTTTTATGTTGACATCATTTGCCTTTAGTAGTTTCTAGTATTGTTTGATTTTTATGTTGACATCATTGTTCTTTCTTAATAGACATTCCACAGATCGTGAAGTTGCAATCATGATGCTTCTGGCCTATTTGTCATACATGATAGCTGAGGTACCAAAGCATTCTAAAGAAAAAAAAGATAGAAACTATATATATCCTTTAAAGTCCTCCTTATAATATTCAAGAAAATAATAATTTTGGTTATCATATTGATTGTCTTGATTACAAAAAATGAGCAAGTAGACATTTTTATGTTTTTTCTACAACTTAGACCACTTACTAAATCACCGTTTGTTGTTTTTCAAGGACATTCATAGCCCTCATCTCTTCTTCAACTGGTGTTGAAGTCTTGAATCTTTGATTGAGTTAAAAGTGAACATGCTATTTCTTTTATATTTTCATGCCAAAGAGGGGTTTTACCAATTTGAATAATTGAAAATTGCTGTGACAGAAAAAGAAATGAATTTAAGTCTAGGAAGAAAAAAAATAAAAAATTCCACTTTCGTTCTTCAGTCTTCAATGAATCCCTTTGTTTGCTTAATGTTTAAGCTTGTTGAGATTTGTATGAAATATCATTTTGTTCTCTAATCTCTAAGATCACAAGTTCTTGTATTTTAATTTTAATTTTTTAGTCATGTGAGATGAGTATAAAAAGTATCCTGCTTTATCAATCACCAATCGTTTTAATTTTTTTATGTCGTTATGATTTACCTTTTAATCATGATGAATGGATAAAATTCTTTCCCATTCATCCCTGAGGCATAGCCATAGTGCTTCTTTGCATTTATATTCTTGGAATTGTAGTGCTTCTTGGTATGTGATAAAATCTTCTTGTTAGTGCTTCTTCAAGTTTAAAGTATTGTTCATAAGTATTGGGTACAAATTCTTCAATTTGTGTTTATTTTAGTGAATCTGATTGCATTTTATGTTTTGATGCAGGCATATCGACCAGTGATGACTATAACTTCTATGTTAAAACATGATTTTTGGATATATATGTTAGTTTGTGGTTAATGTTAAAACATGATTTTTGGATTTTGGAAATGTTATTTTGTGGGTAATGGTGATTAGATATTAATTTAATGAGATACCGAATTAATGCTTCATTTGTTATTTGAATGGAGTTATTATTTTATGTTAGTTTTATTACAGGTATTTGAATGGGAGTTAATATTTTATATGTTAGTTTTATTACAGGCATTTTTTAAATTCAATCAAATAAAATTAGCACAATTTCAAAAAAAAAAGAAAAAGGAAAAGGATATGACGGCGTTTCTACAAACGCCTCCTAAACCCTAAATACTAACGGTCATTTTTTTTAATACAGATACCATGGCGTTTTCAAAACGTCGCTAAATATTGTTGGTGACGTCAGCGTGCGTATAGTAGGACATTTAGCGGCGTTTTTTAAAACGCCTCCTATACTAATATCACGACGTTTTTGAAACGTCACAAAGTTACAGCGACTTCGACGCTTGGTACTAAACGCCACAAAAAGAATTGGCGGCGTTTTTGATAGATTTAGCGGCGTTTTTTAAACGCCACTAAAAGTCCAATTTCTAACAGTGAAAAAGGGAAAGTAGAAGATTGAGTGAGATTAAACTTTAAAGAGAGGACAGAGAGAAAGCGAGAATAGAAGATTGAGTGCAACAAACAAAAGAAACTTCTATTAATTTTGTGTACAAACAAAATAAAATAAAATAAAAAGAAATAAAAAAAACTTCTATTAATTTTTATGACTAGGTCACAGCGGGAGTGGCAAAGACCAAAAAGATTACATAAATTCAATGAATAAATTCCTTCAATCTTTCATGCATTCTTGAAGTCAATTCTTGAATATAAAATCTGCAAATCATCAATCAACTTGTGTTAATATGGTTGATGGACCCACTCCAACATCATCATCATGCAATGAAAATTACTTTTATTAACACTGTAATGACTAAATTTTTATATTATATTTATATATTATTTCATGTCTCATTATATTGAATTTCCTTTTTTAAGCATAGTACCAATACATAAATAATGTATGAAGCATCTTCCAAATTGAACAAATGACTGACTTACAATAAGACGAAAATAAAATTTCTAATTTCATTCTCTAAGACGAACTAAAGAGATGTCTCTAAGCATATTGAATTTCGTTTTTTATGCATGATACCAATGCATAAATAATGTATGAAGTATCACAAGAATTAATGAACAAATTTAACATAAAAAAAAAATTTGTCATTGTAACATTATTCTTTTATATGTTCAAGTATGAATGTGAATGGCCTTAAAAAAATAAAAATAAATAAATAAAAAATCTATGGCTGGATTTGTTTGACCAAATTAGATATGGGAGCCAAATTTCATTGGATCAATAGGGGCGAATGG